GTTGAAACGTGCAGAGGTAACGAAAGTTGGTCCCGTCTATGGTATCTATAGCAATGCCCCACTGGCGGCTTTGACGGGGACACATGGAGGCGGAAAGCAACGTCGTTGTTACCAAAAGCAGTGCGCCGCCTTCGCCATGTACTTAAGGTTGTTACAATCGCGCGCGCAGTGCTAGCAATCGCGAGAATTTCATGATTAATTCGTGATTTGCGTGACACAGCTCTGTTTCGAAGTGAGACATAATATTTTTACAACAAGTGAACACTGTACTTCAATTAGCAGCAAAGATGGAGTCGTAAGGTTGAGTATTTCGTTTAATCGTGTGTAATCAAGCGAGCGTCGACGCGAATTCCTGGCGCACGCTTTCTCACTTGCTATAATTTATGTGTCAGTGTGCGCGCATGGCGGGCGTGTGTTTACAGTTGAAACGCTTCAAAGTGCCTGTGCTCACCAAAATATAAAAAAGTTATATGGGACAGAATTATTCGTCTACAGTTACTAGAGCTAGGTTACCGTTAGGGCATATATATGGTTTATAGTGGCATCGGTGGATGTGCGGCATATTCACGTTCGAATACGGCATCAGTGGATGTGCCGATGCGTAGCCTGAAGGCTAGGCGACCAATTCCAGACGTGTAACCACTGCGTATTCGAATAAACCTACGGTCTATCGGGCTTCGGTCTATCGACCTTCGGTCTATAGGACTGTAACCGAATTCCACAACCATGACAATGGAATTTCAATATGCCGTCGTATGCGTACTTAATTAACTATACAGACTATCAGAACGCAAAATTTTAATTAATTTATCTGCAGCCTTGAAAAATATCAGTTATCAGACAAAAGCAATGCTCATCATGTGTGCGTAAATACAACAAAAAACTACAATTCTACGAACACAACAACATGTTGGTTTTACCGCAAATATGGTTCCACGCGTTTCTTTGATGTTCTCTTGTTTAGATGTAAAATTTTACAGTGGCTGGAACGGTTACGGTTAGGTACGTGTTACATTCATAGATCGGTGAGAATCATACATTTACAGTCTCTAAGCAAAACGGGGTTTACATATTTCCTCAGATTCGTAAACTTAGTATTAGATGTATATACCTATTAAACCGACTGAGTGTAAATTATATTTATCAGCCACAGTAGAAAAGTACGCACATAATCATGACGTTTTCCACATGTTGAATGCCAACACTGCACTGGACTGTGTTGTGTACGTAATATTCGGTGATGATTAATAATAATATTTTAAAGCAGGAAAGAAAGAACACTGTGAATACTCATATGTATGTAAGTAACGTCTAATTGCCATCAGTTCAAATGGCAACATTACCTTCGATATTTAACATATCGGTAGACGGTAACGACGACGACGTGGCCCGGCCCCATCACAGGCACTTGAAGCGTTTCAACTGTAAACACACGCCGCCGCCATTGCGCGCACACTGACACATAAATATATAGATGTATATATTTATGTGTGTATATGTATATGTGTATGTGTATATATTTTATGTATGTATATATTTATGTGTCAGTGTGCGCGCAATGGCGGCGTCGTGTGTTTCAGTTGAAACGCTTCAAGTGCCTGTGACCCCATGCCCATGGCCATACCCATGCTTTACACCCATTGACAGTTCTCCGCTATGTTCTGCGCCAGGACCGGTTCCACAGTCGTGGATTAACTTTTAACTCTGAGTTAATTCCTACTTAGAGTTAAAAGTAACTCAGAGTTAATTCCGTTTCACAGTCGTGGATTAACTTTAACTCTGAGTTAAATATGCTTAACTCAAAGTTAAAATTAACTCTGGTTCGAACCTGGATTAACTCTTAACTCAGGGTTAAAAATCAAGTTACATTCGATCTACGATTCGATTTAGTTTAATATAGATAGTCTTCCAGGCTCATTTTTAAGGGGCGCGATCGCGCTCGCGCTCCACCGCGCACCCGAAATTGTGCCATGGTGGCGCGCATCATCGCGCTTCATAAAAGTGGTTGAAATCGCGCACCAAAATATCTATTATGTTGAAATAGCGTCCATAGAGTTCTCAATGTAGGGGGGTACAAAAAGGTTAGCACACACAACAATTTGTGGTGTGTAAGTAACTGAACGTATGGCAGAGGTACAGGTCGGTTACTACCCTCTGGTTTATATATATATATAAATACAACTAAACAACAGCATCCAAATACAGGTACTATACGGTAGCCACAAGTTACCTGCTCGTTTTCTACTATACGTGGCGAGAAGTGTTTCTGCCGACGTGAAACAGTTGTAGGGCTGGAGGGCTACATACGTGGCTACTACGTACAAGTAATTTGGCTAGTTTTGTTGATGGATTGTGATGATATTTTGTGCTGAAATATGCAGGTACATGGATTAGAATCTCTAAGGATGAAAATTAGAATGAATAAAACAAGTTTATTTTTACATCCGATCAACTCTTTTATTAACCTGTGTGCTAGTGTTGGGTTGTGGATGAAAAAGATGTAATCCTGATGAAGCCATTGAATGAATGAAGGTGAAGATGAATGATAATCAGTAGATTGACATGACATCCCAATTTTCGTTTTGGATTTCACTCTAGACTGAGGATTGGTCATGATTCCATCATCACACCCAAGAGGCATGATGGAGAGCCCTCGGAGAGCTTTCCATCATCCCTTTTAAAGTGTGATTTTTAGTGGAGCTCTCCATCATGCATCTTAAGGGTGTGATTTTTTAGTGGAGCTCTCCATCATGCCTCTTAAGGGTGTGATTATGGAGCGTGAAAAGACCCCCTATTGTGTCCTAGGGGAGTCATTAGTAGTCCTCCTGTACTTTTCAAATCTGAAAGCCTGGTCTTCGGTATAATCTTTTAGACTAGTTTCTACAAGGTTAGTTTAGCTCTAGGGTACTACTAGTACTAGAGCTAATTAGTTTATCTAGCACTGCCCCGTGTCCGATCTTCCGCTGCCGCTGGAACATAGGTGTTTGTTTACGTTTGGTGCACATTGGTCGGCTATTGATGGCGTACCAACGCTGATCCAGGCATCCGTACTTCTACCATGTTCGTGCGTCAATCATGCGTCTATTGTCTATGCGTCTATCATGTGTCTATCGTCTATGCGTCTATCATGCGTCTATCATGCGTCTATCGTCTATGCGTTTATCGTCTATGCGTCTATCATGCGTCTATCGTGTTCATCTGTTCTAACTACGTGGAATTATGGGATACTAACTCTGAGTTAAAACATTTAATTCTGAGTTACTTAACTCAGGATTTAATCCATGTTTATGAAACCCAAATTTAACTCGGAGTTTACTAACTCAGAGTTAGTGAGTTTAACTCAGAGTTAGTCTTAACTCAGAGTTAAAGTTAATCCACGACTGTGGAACCGGGTCCAGTAGTTTCGCATCTCCGCGAGAGCCCGGATGTGCGAGTAAACTCCGCCATATTGTTTATCTCGATGCGTTATCTGCCTTGCATACGCAGGTCGCTCACCTTTGTGTCGAAGAACAGTGCACGTAGCAGGGAATAGAGCACCGATAATGGATGACCTGAGTGATATGACACTTGATACATTTAAATTATGGTCAATGCATGCTCTAAAAGTCTTTCTTAAGCCAATACGATCCGTTTGAGCAGCCCTTCACACTATACGTTAACGCCATTGTTCGCGCATTTTACTCGCGCTTTCCGGGACGGAAACTCCTCCCGACCTTTGACCTTAGGCTAAGCGCATGCGCAGTGTTAAACTGTCAACGGGTGTATAGGCCATGCACTCATGAGTCACTGAGTGAGTCACTTCTGATTCTGGTGATATCACTCAGTGACTCGCTGCCACTGGCACTGCCACTTGGCCTGGCACTGGCATTGGCAGTCACAGGGACTTGAAGCGTTTTAAGAAAATATACGCAGTGGCTGGAGGTACGGTAGCCGTCGTTCGTTGAAGCCCCTTTTTGGCGTTATGGTTAGGGTTATGGTTAGGGTTATGGTTCTAGCTCATCTAAACTCAAATCGTGAATTTATTTCCCAAGGCGTTATTTCGAAATCTGGCGCCACCGCCGCCATCTTTGTCTTGTTAAGTATGAAAGCGAATGGACTCCCGTACCCGTAGCCTCGAGACATTAAGATACGGCTACCGTACCCGTAGCCACTGCCTAAAATGTAATGCTAACTAAATACGAAATCTATTTACTACCAAATTCTTAATGTTTCTATACTCTCTTTCACCTATTATTGCCGACAGTTTCCTGTAAATTCCATCCAAATCCTACGTGCGACCATATACGCTGCCGCCGGCCATTGCTCTCGCGGCTCCACTGTAGCATGCTTACACTAATATATATAGCAGGTAGGAAAGCGGGATCGCAAAATTCGCTCTACGCTCGCTTGATTTCACACTTTCACAGCACGAATACACATCCAACAGCTGCCATCTTTGTTTCTATGTCAAGAACAGTGTTCACCTGTTATAAAAACATACTGTCTCTGTTCGTAACTGAGCTGTGTCACGCGAAATTACACAAAGACTGACGAAATTCTCGCGTTCGCGAACCTTCCACAGTAAAATAAATGTCTGTCAGAATCAGGAAACACCTATCGGTGCTCTTCGTGACCTCATTCGTGAGGCTTGTACGGGAGTTGGAAAGCAGTGCGCCGCCTGGGCGCCGCCTATAGTCCATAGACTGGCACTCGCTCCCACCTCTCGGCTTAGCTTAGTCACTCGATGGGCAATCGAGGTGGGAGCGAGTCCCAGTCTATATAGCCTTTGTCCTTGCAGCCATTTCCATTACTGGGCAAGGTTCGCGTCTTTGTGTGATTTCGCGTGACACAGCTCGGTTACGAACAGCGACAGTATGTTTTTATAACAAGTGAACACTGTTCTTGACATAGAAACAAAGATGGCAGCTGTTGGATGTGTATTCGTGCTGTGAAAGTGTGAAATCAAGCGAGCGTCGAGCGAATTTTGCGATCCCGCTTTCCTACCTGCTATATATATTAGTGTAAGCGTGCAACAGTGGAGCCGCGAGAGCAATGGCCGGCGGCAGCGTATATGGTTGCATGTAGGATTTGGACGGAATTTACAGGAAACTGTCAGCAATAATAGGTGAAAGAGAGTATAGAAACATTAAGAATTTGGTAGTAAATAGATTTCGTATTTAGTTAGCATTATATTTTATTGAAACGCTTCAAGTGGGCACTGTGTTGGCAGTGACTGTGTCTGTGAGCTAGTGTCAGTGAGGCACTTCGCGCGGCCCAGTGCTGTTTCAATAAAAACATGCTGATAAATGAATATAGATTGTATTTACTACCGAAGTTGGTGTACGCCTTGTCGCGTAATAATTCAGCCTAATAAATGCCGTTTAACTGCTCCGTTAGAACATATAATCCTACCGCACGCATGATAAAAGCACACCTTCGCACCACCAATACACAAATAACCGCCTACATATTGGTATCTGTGTAATAGTGCATATATCGCCAAATATTCACATGTTTTAACTTGCACTTGTGTTGTGTACAACTTACTTTACCAAGAGAATTCTAGTGAATTCCTGTAGAAAACTCCTACTTCATGGCAATGACATAAATGAAAGCAATTGCTTGTTTATAAATGAAATTTATTTTGACACTACGGACCCCCTCTATCCTTTGATAAATGAAGGTACGTAGTCGTGTATGTGACATCATTCTTGCATAAACCACCCTGGCATGTCTTGGAGCTGTGTGGCGGAGCTCATATTGGAGCTCGGAAGCAGGTACAACGCAGCAGCTGCAGAACGCAACGCGCCATAATTACTCGTGTATAAACAAGCAGTATATCGTGCATAAATATCCACAGTGAACCGGACATTACATTACCACTCTTAAAAGAACCGGGTGTTGTAATAAAGTTATGGCATATTTATTTCGGTCTGCTATTTTCGGACTGTCTATTAAAATTAATCTGGTATTAATATAACATGTAATGTCTCTTAAATGAATAACGAAAGGTGTAGGATTGCAGTATTTTATCATTGTATTTAGCTAGCTATTTTTGCCTTGACAGAGAACAACACGATGTATACCAAGTTATCCCCACCGCCAAGTCCCATAGATGTGGATGCTCAAACACAGATGCCTTCTCCTGTTCCAGGCTGCAATCCATGCAGATCATCTGCGACTTATAAAAGGCAAGTGAACGTTTGCGTAGTATATATTGGATTATATTATTAGGTGTGTTCAACTACATGGCTAATGCACAGATAATTACTGATTCAAACTGGACATCAGGAGATATTATGTAATGATCATGTGCAGCTTTTTAATGTACACTGAGCATTGTACATATGGTACATATTGCACAATCTTGCATTATTTATAAAATATGAAATACACCTTATGTTCATGTGTATGCACACATAATTTCATTGATGGGTGTATGTTTGCAGACACAAGTATTTAAGAAGGCTCATCAAATTTCGTCAGATGGACTTTGAATTCGCCTTTTGGCAGATGCTGTATTTGGTTATTGCTCCACAAAAAGTATATAGGAACTTCAACTACAGAAAACGTAAACTGAACTTTACTAAATGTACATTTGTTTGTGTATTTACGAATAGTTATTAAGAATTATGCATTTTCCTTCAAAAAATATTAAATTTCAAGAAGGAATTCTTAATGGGAAATTTAAACATTTAATAATTAATATTGTAATGTTCTGGTTATAAACATTGTTGCTGTTAGTAGCAAGATCAGTTGTAAATATAATGGCTGTACGAAATATTATATAAGTAATGAACATGCATGTGTTTTGTGTAGAAACAAAAGACCAGTATGCAAGAGACGACCCAGCATTTCTTGTACTTCTCAGTCTCTGCCTTGTTGGTGAGTAATTCTTTATTTTATTTGCATCAAAACATTAAGTATATCATCATCCACATATCTATACAATGTTGTAGATATGTTCGTTCATGCTATCATGTATATACGTATCTGTATCGAAGTTGTCTTTGATGTTGTGCTGATGAAACCTTCCATTTTTCAGGTTCATCAGTTGGCTTCTCACTTGTCTTACGGCTTGGCTTTTTTGGTTTTGTAAAGTTCATGTTGTGGGTTGTATTTATTGACTGCATTGGAGTAGGCCTGATGATCGCAAGTATATTCTGGTACGTATAACCTGTGTATCTGTGTATCTGTATCTGATCGGTTCCAATACATATGTATAAGCAATCATCTATCTGAATACAGTAACTGCACATCAATGCTCATGTGAAGCTGTATTGTGAATTGTATTGTGGACAGTGTATTGCAATCAATCGTATTACGATTAATCGTTGCACCACTACTTAAAGCCGCACAATGCGCATCCAAACGCTAATTTCTCCAGTACTAGACTAGCAAATACTTTGTGTCATGCATAATCACACTACCTTATGACAAAATAAACTCTAGTTCCTCCCATTTCACAGCGCGTTGTCTTATAAAAAGTATTTGAAAATACCTCCAATGTTGTTCAAATTCTCCGATGTTGTTAACACTTTCGCGTTGCCCTGCCAAGCAACCGCACAGCGGTGCTGCGGTACAGCGGTACGGGTGTAGCAAAGATAAAAACATGTGACGTCACCTCACCACTTCGAGGCTAAATTGTTTGGCAAACAGTCGGCGTTTGCGCCAGAATGCCAGTTTTCTCACCTCTTTCTTGTGGGTTTTAAGCAAATGCGCAGTGAAATGGAAGCAACTAGAGTTTATTTTGTCATAAGATAGCGTGATCATGCATGACACAAAGTATTTGCTAGTCTAGTACTGGAGAAATTAGCGTTTGGATGCGCATAGTGCGGCTTTAACTTGCATGCACGCATTTTCGTTACTAGCGATGGATGTGCCCATTCCTGTGTGAAATGCTGGGCATGGGAGGCTTGCCTTAGTTAGTGAGAGAGCGCACATTAATAATTGATTTATTTTTTAGGTTTCTGACAAATCGCTACCTTGTAAGACCAACACACACTGGCCAGGATGTTGAGTGGGGTTACTGCTTTGATGTGCACCTCAATGCATTCTTCCCATTGCTTATGATTTTGCATGTTTTCCAGTTGATTTTCCTAAAGCGTAAGTATAATATATAAACTGTTGGGCATGCTATTAAACATTAAAATGTTTGTATACCACACATAGTAGGACATATCAATTTGTCCATTTACGTGGCGAAATTAAGCTGTGAACATTTGGTTTATTGATTGTTTGTATCCTGTTTTTAGATATATTCAATTAAAATTACAGATTTTATAGCTGTTGAACCGGACTGGTTTCTTCCAAAACTATTTGGAAATACCTTGTGGCTAATTGCAATTGGGTACTACATCTATATCACGTTCCTAGGATACAGTGGTGAGTAGTATTTACAAATTCTATGCGATACCCTGTAGGATTGTTCAAGTTAACTGAAAAAATTGTTTTAAGTTTGTATAATGAAGAACTGATCAGTATTGTCTGGTTAGTCAACTAAACGTTACAGATTATCACTGCAGTAGTAGATTATGGAAACTACACATTGTAGAAAAGGTGTATATTTCCTGAAGCTGTAGGACATATTTTTCACATTTTCCAATTATTTGTACATTTATCAGCTTTTGATATGGGTTATTTGGCTGGGGCCATAGTAATGGCTTTTTCTCTACTCATCAATATTTGCGTAGACAAAGGGAGGGAGGAGAAATTAATGAGAGGGAGAGGGGTGGAGAGAAAGAGAGGGTAACAGGAGAAGTACAGAGAGATATCCGTATATATATTTACCTCGGCACAAGGTTGAAGTCAAATATGTGTTACATCATAAAATTCGTAGTCGGCAGTACTATAATCTACTGCTGTTATTGCAGCATTACCTTTGCTACACAAGACGCAGGTTCTACTCTATCCCACGTGTGTGCTGGTAATAGCCTACGTCATCACCCTGGCGGTTGGCTGGAACATCAGCAAGGGCTTGATGTACTTCTACGAATACAGGGTGGGCTGACCTAATGGCATGGTCACAGTATAGCACGGTACTAACCTTTCTGGTTACAGAAATATAGTTAACATGTATGATATGCACTGCACATTAACGTCAATAGTCAATGTAAGTTAAAAGTTAAATCCTTCCCGCGCCTATGTGGAACATAGGCGCATAGGGCGGTGCCTATCTCCGTTTCCGTAACCCTGCGGCCCCGCAGCTGCTTTGACAGTAAATGCTACAGTAGGGGGTTAGTCCACTGGCAGCACTGAATTTATTTGAGTCAATGTATGTAGGTAGCACTGAATTTATATTAGTGTTTGGAGTTCTAATATTTACTAAACAGAAATACAATACCCTTACACTTGCACACTAGATAATATGCGTGATTGTTAGTAGTGTGTAGTGTAGTGAGTAGCTAACAGTCGAGTTCTTTTGTAATTTTTAATAATTCTTAATTTTCTCTTCTTGCAGCTCTGACAATGCTGGTTGTGGGATGACGTGGTACGTTGTACCATGTACAATCATTCGGCGTAGGGGTTTAATGCACACACTAGTCCCTAGCGTCTACACCAGGGGGAGCCATTTCCTGGTACATGTGCTCGCCTGATGCACATGCTGGTGTAATAACCTGTAAAACTGGAAGGTCATTACTAAAATATAACTCGTTTACCTATAATTTCGTGAGGCCAAATACTATTGCACTCCGAAACTCACCGCGCTAAAGAAGTTTAATTATTAGTTGTATTATTTGCAGATGGAGGATAATGTGACGATTTGTACAATCAATGTCATAGTCGGAACTAATAGGTCAAGATAAATCTTACACATTTGTCTGTCATTTGTTATTACAAGTGTTGTTACTGCACCTTGTGTGGCAATTTAAAACTGCATTTCCCTGAAGAGTAGCTGTCACAAATGATAGTATGCGCACTACCATTTCTTGATTGCCACATAAAGATTTCCCAAAAAATGCCGTGTGTACGAACAAACAAGCCTAGTAGATTGATGGATAAAATATAAACAAACTGCCATGTCGTTTTATTCAAAATTTACTTAGCATGCTAAGACAGTGTAGCAACAGCATCACTAGGGTGTAAATTAGTGAAACCTGGCTTATCTGTGATAATACCTTGCGCAACAGCAAAATAAAACGTTTTTTTCTCAAAAATTTCAGTAAAGTAGCATTCAGAAAATAACTATTTATTAATCAAACTTTCATTAATATATTTTGGTACACTGATAAGAATTTTTGGCCAATTTATGTGCTATGTTCCATGCCCTAACTACACACAGATATATATATAGAGTAAACACCTGCATAAAAGAAACTGTGGATTAAGAACCTCCAGGCTGAAATTGGACCAATAAAGCACCTAGTATATAAGAACCACTTCAGCCTGAAACAGAAAATCACTGGTTCTTTTATGCGGGTGTTTACTGTATATGCGGAGAGGCCAAGTCACCCTGGAGACACCATGTGAATGTTCCTCTGGGCCAAAATGGGATGTAAATGTCTGAACTCAAGGCAGCCTTTGTCTTGAGTCTATCTGATGACGAAATAATTTTATGCACAAAATGCTTATATATAGGACTACTTTGATTAGATACACTGATAGATTTCAGGGGAACCAGTTTTTGCATTTCAATAAATATAGCAACTGTTTGCTAAACTGGCAGTGATAATATAATGCATACAAGAAAATGTTATTGACAGTTACGCATGTAAATAGTTACCTCCGAATTATGACCAGAAAAAATCATCTATACAAGGAATTCTAATTATCTTAGATTTATACCATTGTAACAAAAACTATACTTCGTCTTCTGTGGTATAAATTATTTTCTAACAAAAGGATAAAGGCAGTGTTGTCCCAAAATGTGGATAAACCAAGGGAGTAAACTGTTAATCTGTGCTTTGAAATGTCTTTGCTTTATGATAGCAAACAATGGTACTTTGTTGAAAGACCAATAATATGAAATAAGCAGAAACGTATTACCTTACAACATTATTTGCATTATTGATGAGGCATTGTAAAGTTTAGTAGTATATAATGTAGATACAAACTAGATTGCCTGCATAGGTGAAATCTTTGTACAGAAGTCATGTGGTGTATATAATAAAATAATAAGCTATGTAAATCTATAATGTTGAAAAAAATTCCATTCATTACACATTAGTACAACAATGTAATCATATACCCCATCGCATTCATAACTTGTGATAGCACCAAGGTCAGAGTATTCCTGCAGTAACAAGGCATACAAATTAATCTATTAGCTAATGAATGTTTTGCACTGATTGTTATTCAAGAATTGTTAACAGTGTATTCATAGTTAAAATTACTTCAGACCTAGCTGTATTATAATAGATTTGCAGCCACCTAGATGTGTTACTTTCAATCTCACAAGGGTTTTATAATAATGTTTCCAATTGCCCACCTCACAAAATATACTTGTGGAACGTATATCTTTTGAAACGTAATTGACTTGCTTTTGTGGCCTAAGGTTTTTGGGCAATAATGACAGTTGCACAACCATACGTTTTTCTCAAGACCTCTCTCTTCTCCATGAATGCATCTGCCTCATTCCTCTCCTTTAAAGCACGAACCCTCTGATGGAACGTCTTGATACCATTATCACCAGTCTCCTTATCTCGCTGTCTTACCAATGTAAATGTGGAATCCGAAAGTAAAAATTCTGGGTCAAATGCAGCATCCATATTGTAATAATGCTCTGGTTTCATCACTATTTCATGAAGGGGAACTATTGCCTTCATACTTGAAAACCCAATTGCTGTCAATGCACGCTCCACTGTGTTGTATTCTCCACCAAATGCCAGGTCCATGATTGGGTCCTTGAACAAGTCGTCTAAGTCATCTATAAGAGCATGGTACCATACACAGTGGTCTCGCTGTGGTCGCAAAGAAGTGCTCATAATGAAGTACCCCCCCTTTCTCAGAGCTTCGTAGACGTTGCGTAGGGCCGCTGTGGCTTTTGGAAACGTCTCCGTGGCAGTGTTATCCTCTGGACAACCGAAGTGGTGCAAAACGTAATTCATAAAGATAGCATCATACTGTGCGCTGCCTGGTATACTGTTAGGAAGCTGCAATAGCTGGCAATGTGGCACGCGCCCACCAGCAATGTAGTCGGCAACCTTGACCCTTGCGCAGTTCAACATTCCCTCACTTGCATCAAATATGGACACCTTGCCAACTCCATTGTCCAGGAAATACTTGGTGTAGTTGCCTGTGCCACAACCTGAACAACATAAATTATGTATAGTTTATATATGAACATTAATATTGTATTGAAAATTGTGGTCACTTTCCTTGCTCTCACGAATTTGTATGGGTTCTCACATCATTGTAGATTTGTTGATTCTGCATAGAACCAGCGCAATAATCACCGAGTAGAGATAGTTGCATATCATGAGATGACACCTTTTAGCTATATTACCTTCAATAAGGTCACCATTTCATCTTTTAAATAAATTATTATTGGAAAATGTACATCTATATATCCATTTTTAATTTAATATATACAAAACACACTGATACACTGAGATAAACTCAGTAATACATGTGAATGAATGTAGAAAATGCCATGGGGTTTGCACAGTTCTGAAAGTATTGTATGGATTATCTCCTGATTATATCAACGAGACACTAACCAATGTCAGCAATGTGGAGCTCTTGTAATGGCTTTCCTAGTGCACATAGTGCACTTAGCTCAGTTTCTGCTCCAATTGGATGCCTAAAAAATATATTGCACGCATGAATGCATGCATGACATTAAGTGTCAATACAGCAAATTAGATTACATGCATGGGATCTAAGTATTATACTTATTCGAAGGGCAAGTAGAGGAGAAAAGAAGCCAGAGAATGGTGGGCGGGAGGGAGGGAGGGAGATAAATAGACAGATACATAGAGAGAGAGAGAAAGAGCGAAAGAGAAAGAGAGAGAGAGAGATGAAGGGAGGGAGATATTATATTATTATAGTTAGGCATGAATTTGTTGCAATGATACAAATTCCTTCTAAACACATCACTCGTAAGTATCAAAATCATGTGCATAAATATCATTATCATATACATAACACAGAATGATATGAACAGATTGGTTTTTTATTAGATATAGGAACACTAATAGGATACTTATTAGAAGGGGAACTAGAGGGAAAAAGAAGCCAGAGAGCAAAATACAATACCTTTTGCATTATAATATATAGTGGTCTTACATATGCGTGCGTGCGTGCTTACCTGAATTTATCGTAACACCGGGAAACAGTTTCATAGTCCTCGTATGCACTCATTTTTTAATACCAAGTCCAGTAAACTAATAGAAATTATGAAATTATATGTACAGCCTGCAAAGAAACAAGCAAAGTGATAATATAATAGCTATTCACTTTATATAGTGACAGTGATATTACAGGCCATGGTTTGAACACACAGACATATTGGGATAGGGAAAGAAAGAAAGGAAGAGTGGGAGGGAATTAGGGAAGGAGCGATAGAGGGAGCTAAACAGAGAGGGAGAAAAAAAGAGCTAGAGAGACAGAGTGAGAGCTAGAGAGACAGAATGAGAGCGAGAGAGAGAAAGAGATAGAAAGCGAGCTAGGGAGAGAGGGGGCAGGCGGGCGGGAGGGAAGCAGTGAAGGAGGAAAAGAGGGAGGGAGAGAGAGAGCGGGTGGGAGGGAAGGATGG